CGACCCGATCCTGCTTCCGCCGATTCAAAAAATTCGAAATTCGGGCCAAAATGAAACTCGCAGAGCCAATCTTTAAAGGCCTTCCGCGAAGCTTAAACCTAGAAACATTCTCCTCCCTAATCGTAAGCCTTCATATCACGCTCGGGTCGGATAGGTGTGCGGCTAGCAATTAAGTCTGCGTAGACGCAGCGTCCGGCGGCGTACATGATGTTACAGGGGAGTTGGATAGAGCGGGTTTTAGATTAGGGCAGTTTCGAGAGTCAGTGTGAAATGGGGTAGGCAGCGAGGTCTGAAGTTGGATTGGCTCAAACACGAGCATTAACTGCCAACTGCTAAAATAGACACTTGGGTCTTTTTCCTTTCGTGCCGCAGATTCGCAAATAAATCATCATGCTGCTACATTGCGTAAGTCTATGTAACTACACAACCATTCGTCACACTATCGCTATCTGTCAAATATTTTTGCACACTAATAGCAGCTCTAATTTGCCAGTCAATCAAGCCGCTTAAAGATTTAAAAATCCCACAATCTTCACATCTACGCGAGCGCAATCGATCACGTTTACAAGCAGTGAGGAATTACACCTGGAACAATTTATTATTTATTTATTAACGGACATTTATACCTTAAAATGGATATACCTAGCAACAAAAAGCCTACATACACCTACTGTGAGCATATACTTGCAGTATGCAAACATCATTAGACAAATTTCACAATTCTGTACTGAACAAACATCGAATAATGAATTATAAACTTGTTCTATCATAGAAAATAACTGTTAACGAAAACTGCATTCGCTAGGCTATGTCCCGGATGTGTAAACACTGTGTAAACATTCGAAAATAGTAGTTTTGTAAGACTTTAGGTTTGCTGAAGAAATGTTATGAAAGTAGCAATACAAATAAGTTGTAGTGAATTTTTGACGAGCTCACTGTAGGTATACCTACGCATCTTGCTGCGAGAACAAGCCGTTTTAATGAGGAGATAGGTGGGGGGCAATGGACAGGGGGCGCTAACATACCTCCGGAGACGAGAAACTCTCCGGCCATGCACAGCGACTTCACGTCGTGTGTGTGCAGCAGACGCGGTAGTGATGGCACCCACTTCTGATAATCTGCAGGGAAGGAAAATAGCAGTACAGGCAGGTCCCGTGTCACGACAGCATTAGGTTACAGTAAAACAGAGTCGTAAAATTAAAAGTCGTAAAACAAGACCAAATCATAATGCAATTAAATGCTACATTCCACCCACAATGCACCACGAAAAACAAAAGAAATGCATATTGCGTGTTTGGACTCACAGGTGTTGCTGCGATGTGTTATTGAGTTACGATTTTGTTTGTTATTTTCATATTATTAGGTAATTTTGAAAAGGTTGCTAATGTGAAGTCGTAAAATGAACCATCGTAAAACGGAACCAACCTGTACAAGAGAGCGAAAATAAACACATATATATATGCACATATGGCATACCCTCACACGTGTGCGTGGCACCCACATACATTCTTAAATACTGTCAAGTGAGGATAAATAATCCTTTCTAATATTACTAAAAGAAATTGATGGAAATGAAGGAATTTGTGCTATGCTTCCCAGTGTACGCTTAGACCTTAGGATTACCTGCTATCTTATACGGCATTAACGTTACACCCCACACTAACATTTATTGTGCTTATTTTATTTTACGTATCCATGCATCTCGCGATATATATATATGGTCATGGTCATATATTAGTTTGTGGTTGAATGTCATTTAGGTTAGGGTTAGGGTTACGGTTAGGGTTAGGGTTAAGGTTAGGGTTAGGGATAGGATTAACAATCATTAATCATTAATCATTCATCATTAATGATATCAAAGTTGGGAACACTCCTAATGGAGCGTTAGCCTTTATATGTGACAGCTACGTGTGACATAGTCTTACCTCTGAGGGCCACAGAAGGAGCGTTCATGTCGCGGCCCCTGCCACGTTTCCCACCTGTGCATCCCTCTCCCACACTACACTACACCTCATACAGAGCCTTGCAGACCTGGAGACCTTGAGGCTTTCAACCACCGTGCCAGGTCCGGCGTGCTGCAATGGCTAGGTCGGGTGTAGTGTAGTGACCCGAGAAGAAGAAGAACAAGACACGCAACCACCTGCCAGGTCTGGTGTGCTGCAATGGCTACGTCGAGTGTAGTGAAGTGACCCGAGAAGAAGTAGTGACCAGAGAAGAAAAAGAGGAAGAAGAAGAAGAAAAAGAAGGTCTTACCTCTATGGAAGCTATCATTGCCTGGTCCGGCGATGACTTTCTCAAATTGAGAGATCCCGGGCTCTACTCCTCCACAGAACAGCTTGTTTTCCTCCTTTAAATTCACAACCAACATTACTGCAGATGTTTTTCCTCCTTTAAATTCACAAATAACATTACTGCAGATGTTTTTACTCCTTTAAATTCACAAACATTACTGCAGATGAATGCTAAACGAACACGCTAATAACATCACATGAGTAACACGTAACACATAACACATAACATATAACATATAACACATAACACAACATATAACATTTCCTACATAAATGGCCGGATCCGTCTGTCTGTCCGTCTATCTTCTCGAGACCCGTAAGAGGTGACCCCTAACACCATATATATTCTGAATCGGCATGACGCCATGACCATTTTAGGCCAAAAAAATGCTTAAATTGCAAAAAAAGGAAAAATAAGGGCAAAAAATAAAAAAAAAGATTTCCTTTTTTTTGGAACTCCACTTTTTCGGTCCATTTTGTAGGTAAATATTATTTTTGGCCACTTTTTGGCTGAAAATTTGACCAAAAACATTTATTTTCAAACCCGGAAATGATGGATCCATCCGAAAGTACGGAATGGAATCTCAATTTCATATGCGGAACGTAAAAATACTAACGCACTGCAGCAGAAAAGTAAAGAGGAATCCTAGCGCAGCAGAAAAGTAAAGAGGAATCCTAGCGCTCGACTATACACTGCAGCAGAAAAGTAAAGAGGAATCCTAGCGCAGCAGAAAAGTAAAGAGGAATCCTAGCGCTCCACTATACACTGCAGCAGCAAAGTCGAGACGAATCCTAGCGCTCGACTATAGTCGACACTCGGCCTATAAGGGTTTTAATGTATGTGATAATGTATGTGATAATACGTGCTATCTGTATCTGATGAAATACAGATAGCACGTATTATCACATACATTAACCGATGTTCAGTCATCCCTGTCCGTGATCAGTCAACCATGTACATGTACTATGGCGCGCCTCTCTATATAACTGACATATGAATACATGTACATGGTTCACTGATCACGGACACAGATCACTAAATATCTCAATTATATTTTGGTCCCATTTTACGGTAAATTTCTTGCACGCCGCATTACTTTTAGAGAACAATTTGAAATTTAGAAGAACCATCTCAAATTTAGGACCATCTAAATTTCAAACTAGATGGTCCTGTGGACGTGCAACGTCATGAATCTTAACAAGAGCCGCAGAGCGTCTGGGCTCATCTGAGGTCTGTTGCTACGATTATAAACGTGAAATTTCAGTCGTGCGTAGTACCACATTTGTTAGGCGCAGATATGCAGACACGCAGTTGCGTACACATCAT